CAGGATTACACGCGACGATGATGCTGCTGCATTAGGCAATTGACTTTGATGAAGGAGTCGTTGATTTAATTGATATGGTAGTAGGTTTTTACCCTTTTAAACTGGTACAAAACTGACACTTTTAAAAGGGTAAAACCCTACTACTATATTTTGCCACTGGTAAAAGAGATCTCATAGTGTGAATTGATATGATCAGCGCGTGCAGCGTGGCTATAATCGCACAGAATCTCATACACAAACGTAGACACGCACAGAGATTCAAAAGAGAGGTTTTTTTTCTCTTGGGTATAGCCTTAACAGGGGTAAGTGCTGTTAGGGAGGAGCACATACGAAGGCCGGCACGACATACGAGGGGGGGTGTGGGTGGTCAGTAACCACGCCCGAGCCGCTTTTGTCTCCCCGGTGGCGATGTTTACTACACACAGCACCAGGTACTCATTTGAGGCTGAGTCGACCTAGGAGGGGGCCCAGGAACCGTCACCGTGTTCGTTGCACGACCGCTCCCCACTAACTGAAGACGTACACGCACACGCTTGCAGACAGATTCACACCAAAAACAAACTTTTGACGCAAGCACACTCAGGAACTTAAGACGCAAACCCTACTGACAAAACACAAAACGAGAAGCATACTGAAAGAAAAACAAGTCTCTGAGACATAACCCCAGAGATACAACCATACCACGCACGCGGAAACACAACGCAGAGACACACACACACGGCGAGAAAATAAACACAAACACGCACAGGGCAGATCGACCGCGACGAACACAAACACTTACGAAGCGCACACGGACAACGTACAAAAACACAGGCACCGCAAACAAACATAAAGACACGAGGCTGTACGGAACACACCGTAGACACAACGACACACACACAAACAATGCGTACACACGTGCGCACTCACAACAATCAGAGTCGCAGCAGACTTAAAGAGACGGAACGGATTTTTGTCTGTCGTGTCCACGTCTGCCCCCCCCCCTTCACAATCATTGATTTCAGCCCCCCCCCCCTCGGGTTTCCACTCGAGACAAAAAACACACGCGCCCCAAATGTCTCAATCACCATGCCACTGTATCCTTAAGATTGTCCCCGTGTGTCTTGTCCGCGTCTCGCCGTCTCCTCCCTTATCCCAGGTCACGATGTCCACGTGTGTGCGTGTCCCACCCCCTCTCCTCGCCATGTCTGTCCCACTCCCGTCTCCTCTTGTCCCACCAACCCCACCGTGTCCCCGATGCGCCTTTGTCCCACATGTCTCTCTCCCGTGTCTCACTGTGCCCTACGCCGTCCCCCCGTCACGTCTCTCACCTGCTCCCCCCCGTTGCGTCTTGTCTATATCAAGTCACGCTGTCCACGTGTGCTAGTAAAACCACCCTGTCTGTCCCACTCCCGTCTCCTCTTGTCCCACCAACCCCACTCCGGAGTCCACGTGTCTCTCCGTGTCTCGCTGTGCTGTCTCCCAGCGTGTTTGCGCCCTGTTGTTCGCCCCACCAATTCTCCGTGTCTGTGCTTCCCCGCGTCACTCAACTCACTCACCACCTCTTGTTACTACTCTTTAAGCTCCAATCATCTCCACGTAACACAATAAAGATATCCCCATGGCTCTCGTCTCCCTCGTCGATCTGCGTGTCCCAATGTCTCCCGCCTATTCTGTCTTATCCCTCGATTCATGATCTCTCAATCCCACCCCCAACCACGTGTCTCAATTCTCGTCCCGTTCACAGCCTTTCTGTTCCTGACTCTCACGATGTCAAACTCTCTCTCTCTCTCTCGCTCATGCTGTCTCCCCACCGACCCCCATCGTATCTCTCCCCTTGTGTCAACGTGTCCACCATCCCTATTCATTTGCGGAAATTTAAAAAGAAACAGCTTCACAGCTCATCGGATTCCTCCAGTATAAACACATGTTCTGATTTCTCCTCCTGCAATTCTCTGTCCCCATGGCCTCCTACCACCCCCGCGATCTTCCCAAACGTAACCCCTTGAGTCACCACTTCTCAGACTATCAGAACTTGACCCCTCCAACCCTGTGTCACAACCCCCCCCCCCATCCTGTCCCCAAGTGTTTTTGTATCTCCCCATTCCGCTCGTCGGTAACCTTTATGATACTCATTTAGAAGGGAAATAAAAAAATAATAAAAAAATACAACATAATAAAATAAAGTTTTATTTTATTACTTCCCTTCTACGTGACTTTACCGAAAGAACCAAGAAGATGAATCCCTGCAGTCACGAAAGCTTTAAATCGAAAAAGAAACTCATTTAGTTTAAAGGTTCTGGTGAATTCCTTCATGAGCCTATAACTCAACGTATTCTATATACGTATATACACTTGGGTCCATTTTAATAAAAACTACATTTTAGTTACCTTTTTTACAGACCAATTCAGACCTTAAATTTCGATTTAAAGCTTTTGTGACTGCAGGGATTCATCTTCTTGGTTCTTTCGGTAAAGTCACGTAGAAGGGAAATAATAAAATAATAAAAATATACCAATAAAATAATTCTCACGACGTTTCGGCTACAACGCAAGCAGCCGTCCTCAGGTGAAGACGGCTGCTTGCGTTGTGGCCGAAACGTCGTGAGAATTGTTTTATTATGTTTTATTTTTATTATTTTATTATTTCCCTTCTACGTGACTTTACCGAAAGAACCAAGAAGATGAATTCAGACCTTATTGGTCACCCCGTGCCCCTTATAAATATCAACGTTCATCCTACAGAGTCCCATCACAAGGGAGAAACACAAACAAATTGACAGAAATGTAAAAAAAATGCCCGTATTAAAACGGCTGCACGCCGTATTGATCTGAAAACTCAAATTCCCTGTGCACGAATATGGGGTAAACCGTCTTGATTGACAGCTTTGCATGCACGTTCAGAAGAATATTTGTGTTTTACTCATCAGAATCGGCGTGTAGACTGGAGAAATCCGATGAGCTATTAAGCTCTTTTTCACACTCATGCCCAGTGGCCTTGCGTCGTGATAGTTATCACACACGGAGCTTGCAAAATCCAAAGGTTGCTGGCGTGGGAGTTTTAATAAGGGACACCCTTCATTCTCAGAATATGAAATTATACCGGAGGAATAGTTCATAAATATCCCCAACCTACCTAATTCCGCGGTATAAACTAAAACATTTTATTTGTATTTTACCAGCTAAAAAGGCCCCAACTGAGCTAGAAAATAGCTATTTTTTCAGAAGCCTACCTTGGCTATCGCAACTGATGGCTCAACGAAGTGGGCTTATCATCATCATCACCACGTGGGAATTTATCACAGCAGCCTATTAACACGCCGTGATGTTGACTCTAAATGTGGAGAGAGAGGACCCGGAGGAAAATCCACGGGACCACGGGAAGAGAGACGTGCTACACTCCAAATTTACAGCAGCAGGCGTCAGGGTGGGGATCGAACCCACGACCTCCTGTATACCAGGCGAGGTAATTAACATCTCCTAGCCACCGTGATGATGGAGATTGGAGACACCGCAAACTCCAAATATACAGCAGCAGGCGTCAGGCTGGGGATCGAACCCACGACCTCCTGTACACCAGGCGAGGTAGTTAACATCTCCTAGCCACCGTAATGTTGATGAGAGAGACACCGCAAACTCCAAATATACAGCAGGTGTCAGGGTCGGGATCGAACCCACGACCTCCTGTACACCAGGCGAGGTAGTTAACATCTCCTAGCCACCGTAATGATGATGACACCGCAAACTCCAAATATACAGCAGGTGTCAGGGTCGGGATCGAACCCACGACCTCCTGTAGACCAGGCGAGGTAGTTAACATCTCCTAGCCACCGTGATGATGATGAGAGACACCGCAAACTCCAAATATACAGCAGGTGTCAGGGTCGGGATCGAACCCACGACCTCCTGTAGACCAGGCGAGGTAGTGAACATCTCCTAGCCACCGAGGGGCCCCCTTCTACCCCCTCCCTTGTCACCCACCCTGGCTGTAATCCTATTTCTCTCATGTCCCTCCCTTGTCTGCCTATACCCCACCACCACATGCTCGTCTCCCCTGTCTCCCTGTCCTCTCTATCCCCTTAACTCCCCTTGACCGCCTACCCCCCCCCCCCCACCGCCTTGTCTGCCATGTCCGCCTCTTGTCCCCCTGTATCTCAATTGTCACCTGACCTGTGATTACAGGAAATTATTGTCATCATGATTATAATCATTTCCTGTGTCTCTGTCCCCGTGTCCCTGTCCGAGTGTATCCCCCAGTCACCCCAATGTCTCTCTCCCCCTGTCCCCCCAATGTCTCCCCTCTTGTCGCTCTCCCCGTGTCTCCCCCAGTGTCCTCATGTCTCCTCCCTTCTTGTCTCTCTCCCCCAGTCTCCCCAATGTCCCCCCAATGTCTCTCTCCCCGTGTCTCCCCCAGTGTCCTCATGTCTCCTCCCCCCATCTTGTCTCTCTCCCAGTCTCCCCGTGTCTCTCCCAATCTCCCCGTGTCTCTCCCCGTGTCTCTCCCCGTGTCTCCACATGTCCCCGTGTCTCTCCCCGTGTCCCCGTGTCTCTCCCCGTGTCTCTCCCCGTGTCTCCACGTGTCCCCGTGTCTCTCTCAGTCTCCCCGTGTCTCTCCACGTGTCTCTCCACGTGTCCCCGTGTCTCTCCCCGTGTCTCTCCCAGTCTCCCCCCGTGTCTCTCCCAGTCTCCCCCCGTGTCTCTCCCCGTGTCCCTCCCAGTCTCCCCCCGTGTCTCTCCCCGTGTCTCTCAGTCTCCCCGTGTCTCTCCCCGTGTCTCTCAGTCTCCCCGTGTCTCTCCCCGTGTCTCTCAGTCTCCCCGTGTCTCTCCCCGTGTCTCTCAGTCTCCCCCCGTGTCTCTCCCCGTGTCCCTCCCAGTCTCCCCCCGTGTCTCTCCCCGTGTCTCCCAGTCTCCCCGTGTCTCTCCCCGTGTCTCTCCCCGTGTCTCTCAGTCTCCCCGTGTCTCTCCCCGTGTCTCTCCCCGTGTCTCTCCCCGTGTCTGTCCACGTGTCCCCGGTGTCTCACCGCTCTCCGCCTCGTTGCCTTTCCTCGTCGTGGTGGCTCCGCTGTTCCCCATCGTCCACCACCTCCTCCACCCCGCGCTCTCACCAAATCCTCCTTCACAATTCCCTCTCCTCGCTTCACCAACTTAACACCACCGCGGCACCAAACCCAACAGCGCTGCTACAAATTACAACTAAATTGTGTTTTTTTTTTATTTTTATTTCAGGGTACCGCAACAGCAATTGTGTGTTTATCTTCCCGATTTGTCGTGTTGTTTAAAAAAATGTAAAATAATTTAAATGTAGCGGTCCCGATAGCCGGAATCAGCAATTGCCCTCCCCCCCCTACCACCCCCTGGTCCGTAATCCGTCAGCTGTCAAACCTCTCGCCGAAGATGCAAAAAAGGAGAGAGAAAAAAAACCCCTCCCACCAAAATATATTTAACGCTTCCAAATGTTGTCGTTGTTGCTTCTTCTTCTTGTTGTTGGAAAAAAACCCACCACGCCGGTGAAATCCGTGCAATTGTTCTTATTATTGCGATGATAATAACCGTGTTATTTTTAATTCACGACCGATAGCGGATGACGACGACGACGATGTCGATGCCGCCGCCGCCGATGACGGCGAGTAGCGCGAGGATCCCTCCGCGCGTAAAAAAAAAGATGGCCGCGGCGTAGCTCCTCCCCCCCCCACATCTCCGGGAGCCGGCACTACTTTCAATGCCTCTCATTATTTAATGAAATCTAGAAATCATTATTAATTTTACTACTTCTAAACCAACCGCGTCCCAAGGCCAATGCATTTGATTAGCGCGCGCGCGAAGCTCGTCTTGTGTTCAAGTGAGCGGGTTTATTTAGCGGCCGCGCGCGCGTACACGACCCCGGTGTTGGTGAGTGAAGCGGCTCGTTTGGCACCGCCTCTTTAACCCACAGCTCCCCCCCCCCCACTGCGCCCCGCCCCTCTCACCCCCCCCCCCCACCGCGCCCCGCCCCTCTCACCTCCCCCACCACCCCCCCCTCGCTCGCGTTGACGTCATAAGTGTCACGTGTAACGGGACCGCGTGCACTTTCACTGCACGTGTCACACGCTGGCAAAATGCGTCGAGTCCTCGTTTAACGCGTGTTCACGCCATAAGGGGCCGGCCATAAATGACGTCACGCACCTGGGGGGGGGGGGTGGGGTCAGACATTTGTGACGATGTGTGACGATGGGGAGGGGGGGGGGTGAGAAATGTGACGTCACGTCAAAATGCGCAACTTTAAATAAATATAGACAACACGTTCTACTTAATTAAATAGACTTTTTAATAAATGTTTTCTCCTACAACATCAGAGTGCAGCGCCACATTAAATACGCACGGCAATGACAATAGTTTAAAGCGATTTGAAGCATTTTAATTTGGGGGGAGCAGAGCTTTGTGACGTCATATTTCAGGGGGGGGGGGGTCTGACTTTTTGTGACGCCATGTGACAAAGAGGGGGGGGGGGTCAAAAATCGTCCAAAATCGCGTGACGTCATTTATGGGCGGCCCCTAACGCGTTTTCGCCGCTGCATAACGCCGTTATTCCATTCGGGAACGCTTTCGGCACAACGCGCAAGCGCGCGCTACCAGTTAGAACGCGGAAAACGCGAGCGGTTGACGACGAACTACTTTCTTTGAGCTGCGCGGCTGAGCGGTTGCGATGCGGTAACGCGGAATGATACAGTAACGGCGGTGATTTGTCGCGCCATCTTGCTGCCGCACGTGGTACGTACACCGCATCTCGCCAAACGTCGTCGTCGTTGTATTATTTACGGGGCAATTGTTTTCGCTTAACGCGTTTTTCCGCTTAACACGACGCCTTTCAGGAACGCACCTGCGACTAGCCGCGTTAAACGAGGACTTGCCGTACTTCCCGCGCACAGTATACAACAGAGGTTCTTAGGGGCCGTCCATAAATGACGTCACGCGATTTTGGACGATTTTTTACCCCCCCCCCCCACCATTCGTCACACGGCGTCACAAAAAGTCAAACGTCCCCTCAAATATGATGTCACAAAGCTCTGCCCCCCCCCCCCCCCCCAAATATAAAACATGCTTCAAATCGCTTTAAACTATTGTCATTGTAGCGCGTATTTAATGTGGCGCTGCACTCTGATGTTGTAGGAGAAAACATTTGTAAAGGTGATCGCCACTCACCATTCAGTAACCGGCAGTACCACTGGGCGTCAACAGGGTGCAGCAGCGTTACCTCCCTGGGGAAATGCCGGGGGTCAAACAAAGGTGAGAGCGGATCCGAACGACAATTCCTGCTCGGGAAATGCCCGGGGTCAGATAGAGGTGAAAGCGGATCCAATCGACGGATCGTGAGGGGATGACGTCACCTCCCAGGGTAAACCAGAAGGTTCCAAGAAGGGGCGTGTCTTAGACGGAGCCAGCCACGAACCGGTATAAAAGCCAGAGTGCTGAGAGCTCCGGCTCTCTTTATTTATTTATTTTTACATTACATTTACATTTTTACACTCTGCTTTATGTAAAGCCCCACCTCTGGCTCAGTTCTCTCTCCACACGGAGACTGAAGCCCGGGCTGAAGATAGGACCCTGGACCCCAATCTCTATAGTCCTTCTAAGGGCTGGAGCTCAGTGAGGTTAGTGGTCAGGGGAAGAATAGGTCCTCGATAGACAGGACGCTGGATCCAAGCTCTACAGCCCTTCTAAGGGCTGGGGCTCAGTGAGGCCAGTGGTCCAGACCCACAGACCGAGTGGTCGGGTCAGTCAGCATCCCCTAGGTCAGGGGTCGGCAACCAAAATAACAAGAAGAGCCATTTCTTTCCAATTCGGTACAAAATTCAGTATTTCAAGAGCCGCAATGCATCTGAGTACATACTGTACATACGTACATATCGTCAAGAAGCAGCCCGTAAAGAGCCGCATGCGGCTCCGGAGCCGTAGGTTGCCGACCCCTGCCCTAGGTCCTAGCCGGAGGACGTTAGGCGAGCGAGTCACCAGTGAATAGGTCCCGCCGAGTCTGGAGGCCATACCTCGCCAGGTATCGGGTAAGGGGACCGTGCTAGGGACCGTGTCGCAAAGAAAGACAATAAATATAGTGTGCCTCATAAGGAAGTTTATTCGTCAATATTTGAACACTACACATTTGTTAGAAGCATGCGTTTATAGCAGTGGTTCTTCTTAACCTGGGGTGCACGCATCCCCTGGGGGTGCGTGACATGGCCAGATTCTTTTAGAAGGTAAATCATAAAAAACAGATTAAGCACGGGGATGTAAGTACAACTACTTTGTTTCATCAAACCTAGGTACATATTTATTAACATACATTTTTCGATTTAAAGCTTTCGTGACTGCAGGGATTCAGCGTCCGAACGCTGTCTTTCCGACAGCCCTGTTCTTCACCTGAGGACGGCTGCTTGCGTTGTGGCCGAAACGTCGTGAGAATTGTATTTTATTATGTTTTATTTTTATTATTTTATTATTTCCCTTCTACGTGACTTTAACGAAAGAACCAAGAAGATGAATTTTATTTCATTGTTTTATTTTTATTATTTTATTATTTCCCTTCTACGTGACTTTACCGAAAGAACCAAGAAGATGAATTTAATTTAATTATGTTTTATATTTTTATTATTTTATTATTTCCCTTCTACCTGACTTTACCGAAAGAACCAAGAAGATTATACATTTTAAACGATTAAGAACCAAAAGGGGTTTCAAGGCTGCAGTAAAGGTTAAGAACCACTGGTTTAGGATATTTGGCTTCTATATATTTCCACGTGATGATAAGCCACTTTGTTAAGCTATCATTTGTGGCCAGGTCACTTCTGAAAAAGACCTGCACAATATAGTTCAGTGTGCCCTTACCTGGTAAAATAAAATGTAAAAAATGTTTCCGTAGTGCCCAGCGTAACTAAGGTTCTGGCCCCAACCACATGTCATCAACACAAGGCCGGCCAAACGTCCTCCAAGCAACCAACATGATCGACACGGGAGAGTGGGGAAGGAATTCATCCAGCAGTGGAATGACAAAGGAGCTTTAAATTATTAATGCCATGTCGGTCATTAACCTTTGCAGGCAATCACCCCCCCCCCCCTCCATACCACCCACCGCCTCCGACGTTCAAGCTACACCGCAGGCAGTCATTGCTATTCATATTTAATTATAAACCACGTGTTACCGTATCCTTTAGATTATGAAGACGCGCAGGAAAGTAAGACGTCACTCAAGAAGTTTTGATTAAAAAATATTAATAAAAATTGTGCGTTTTATAATGGGGGGAGGGGTGAATAGGGAGGTATTTGCTACAGGAGTTATGAAAACGCGTATCCCTACAAATAAGTAGGAACCGTCTTCTAGAAGAAGATTCCGAACATCTGGTGGCGTCTTCTGTCCTCTGGGTGGTCCATATATAGCTCTGGAAGAACCGTCTGCTGGAAAATTATTTTAGACATCTGGTCGCGTTTTCCGTGCTCTGGGTGGTCATGTTTCGCTTTGGAGGAACCGTCTGCCGAAAGATGATATTTGACGTCTGGTGGTGGCTTCTGTCCTCTGGGTGATCCATGGGTCGCTTTGGAGGAACCTTCTGGAAGATGATTTTGGATATGTGGTGGTGTCTTCTGTGTTCTGGGTGGTCATGTTTCGCTTTGGAGGAACCGTCTGCTGAAAGATGATATTTGACGTCTGGTGGTGTCTTCTGTGCTCTGGGTGATCCATGTATCGCTTTGGAGGAACCTTCTTCTGGAAGATGATTGTGGACACGTGGTGGTGACTTCTGTGCTCTGGGTGGTCATGTATCGCTTTTGAGGAACCGTTTTCTGAAAGATGATATTTGACGTCTGGTGGCTTCTTCCGTCCTCTGGGTGGTCCGTGCATTGCTCCGGTGGAACCGTCTGCCGGAAGATGATTTTGAATAACTAGTTTCAAACATCTTTTGGAAGCCAATGTATTCCTTAGATTATGAGGGGACACAAGTGCGTCTTGTAATTTGGAGAATGCCGTATATACATAGGGATTGCTACCACCATCTCCGTCATCATCATCATGATCATCATTAAGAGCACCTCCACCACCACAAACTCCATCATCACCATCTCCTTCAATAGCGCCAGAATCTCCACCAACCCTACCACATCCTTAATCACCATCATCAACAGCATCTCCACCAACAACACCACAACCTACATTATCACCATCTTCATCAATAGCACCCACAGCTTCCACCACTACAAACTTCATCATCAATAGCACCGCAACCTCTACCAACACCATCATCATAAATAGCATCTCCACCAATAATACCTCCGGTGCATTGCAGGCACACGTGGCCACCACACGCGTGATCCAATCCTTCACAATCAAGGGTTTAATAAATTCAGCCTGATCGGTCCGAGTCAGAATATTTGTTTTTGCACCCAACACATCACATCCAATTTACCTCTCGCTATGGGGGGCTGGCTACCAACTAGTTTAACTACCAGTAGCGTAACTAGCGGGGGCAGGGGGTGCCGTGCCCCCCACCCCGGTGGTCAAAGCTATGAGTTGGGGGTCCCCCACCAGACTATACTACGAAGCTGTCGTGGCTGCAATTTTATAAAAAAAAGACGAAACGCCCCCTACAGCGTTAAATATTCGAGACCGTGAGCGTCA